CGTCAGTACGGCATGGTGGAAATGCTTAGATCTGGATTCTTTTCCGTTACACATACATTCTAAGCATTTTTCCCCGCCCCTATTTTGGGGTCATGGTTCACATCTTCCAATTAACTTGGAAGATGTGATTTACTTCCGGTTTCTTTTTCCCGGGCTTTCACTGTTGCCTGATTTAACTATAAAAATACCAGACAGTTCTACATATTTTCAAAGCAAGAATATACAGTATTTGCAGCGTTGACATCTGCACTATCTATTGGTCACATAATCAACATGTATGCACTTCAAAATCAACTTCTGAAAAGCAAAATCAATGGAGAAGCCAGCAGTAAAATCACAAGTCACAGTCATATGGTGTCTTGGTTAACAACTTGCCGTTTCACTTAACAACTGAATAGAAAGTGACATTATAAGTCTGTCACAGTCACATAATGTTTCACTTAGCAATCACATTGCTTAGTGACAGTTGCCAGTCCCAATTGTAGTCATTAAGCAAAAACTACATATAATGCTATAATAAGTAATTTAATTTTCTGATAATATTAATGAAATGTACTGGTCCATAGTTAATTCTAATTAAGGGGGCAAAATAATTCAAATTAAAATATTACTTAATTTTCGTTCTAGATACTTGACCTTTGATGAAATTTTTCTTGTGGTTCTGCCTTCTGTACAGATTTTGAATGGAATAACTGAGGAGTAGCTAAAGAACTGTTCTCCAAGTAGTCTACAAAACACAAGGTTATACTTAAGCACAGCCTGCAAAATATGTAATTTGCTACTAAAATAGATATATTAACTGTGAATAGTACAGGGAATAAACTGAAAAAGGTTGGCTAACAATTCTTTCCATGTAAATCAACACCAGTGGATCAAATTTAGAATGAACTAAGCAGGAAATTCTGGTTTGAGATTGAGATTAAATTAAGGCAGCTTGAACAGATATAAGGGGAAAGAACAGCATCCATTGCAAACTGTGATGATACCAAAATGACAATAAATACAATGTCATATTTGCACAAATGACATTATTTCTATACAGAACCGTTCTATTCGTATAATACAGCATTTTCATTATTTACTTCCTTTGACCCAGGTATGGATGCCCATTTGTGGAGACATTTCAAGAGATCCAGTGTTGAAGCAGGTTGAGCTTAATCTGCAGGCTTAACCTCCTCCTGTTCTACTTTATATTCAGTGTTAACAGTCAGTTAATTATAGCAGGTATCTGTGAAAGCGCTGGTGCCAAAGTTAACATTAGCTGGGATGCTAATAAATAGCTCCAGACTGACCTTCATGTGCTGGGTCTACTGTGTTCATACCCATGCACATCTCATCTGTCATATCAGTCATGTTCAGGCTTTTGGCATGGAAAGTGCTGGGTCTACCAAGGCACAAACACCAGGGCATGATGCAGGAGAAATAAGACATTTAACCACCATGCGGAACACCTATCTCTTTCTTCTGCATCCTGCAACCATAATACTGCTGAAAATACTTTGTGAAAGAACCTGGAGTCAAGGCCAATCAAAGAGAGAAGGCAGCAAAATCTGTCACCTTCCATCTCAATGAGTGATGCTCATGGAATACCATTAACTGATGACATTGGACTATGCTGTTACTGCCACTTGAGAACTGCTTCAAACATTGATTCAGGGGAAGAGGCAGGCTTTTAAACTCAAATAAGTGTTGATCTGAAAAACAGTGAAAAGGAAGGATAAGGAAATCCTTCTCACTATTATTTAGCTAAACCATAACCTGTTCTACAATACTGAATAAAACTAAAACTAAATAAAATAAAATGTGAGTGGGATAAAGATTGCCTTAGAGACAAATAGGCCAGGCAACTTCATATTTATCACCAGTCACTACAATACCAGAAAAATACTAGATCAGCACCAAATTGAAAGGTTCCAAAGCAGCAATTATTTGTTTCATATCTTACATTCTAGCCAGTTCTTGATTGGTTATGTACAGAATGACTTCTTTACTGTGCCATGCGCTACTTAAACACTTACTTCTTTATTTCAAAATTCCCTCCAGAAACCTCGTATTAGGGACATAACTGCCCACTCCCATGTTGGCCCAGACAGAACAGTCCTCCTCAAAACAATTGCAAAAGTCAAGGATTTTGTATTAAAGTGCTTTGCATATATCTAGAAACCAAACCATTTCTTCAAGATAAATTAAGCTTGTATTATTATTATTCATGCCACCTTTGTTCTAGTGGCCTTGGATCATAGGGTTTGGGATTTTGGGGAGATAGTTATCTGATGGTATCTACAAATGCTAATCTTACCTGCTGATGAACAGGCTACAAGTTCTGCTTTTGGAACAAGATCTGAAGATGTTTCATATTGAGCTGTTGTTGGCAATGGAGCTTTGCTGTTCTTCTCTCTAATTTCTTTTGTCATCTCGCCTGTCTTTTCTTCCTCTGTTTTATAGTTTCCTAATAAGACACCACTTGAACCTTTTGAAGATATTGTTTCTACTTCTGTTTGCTCAATTTTGTCAAAAACATCTTTTGGCAGCCTAAAAAAGAAAGGCAAAAATGTTAAAATGCAGTCAGAATACAAATCAAAATTAAGACAATCAACTCAACTGTTTTTTCTACTTCTATTTTAAAATGCATTACTGTAATCACAAAGCTGCTGCAAAGAGGTTTGTCCTATAGCAATGCATGTTGAATCAGTCATTCAGTTTTTGCATGCAATTCATAATGTTGAAAAAGCCAATTATTTGAGCTATAGTGTCTCAGTTCTCATGCCAATCTATCATATAGGAATAATATTACTTAGAGCATAGGAGAAACAACTTGAACATTTTTTAAAAATATACTCATTCTTATAGAACAGGTGTCAAATTTGCAATGTCACATGACGTGTTGTGATGTATTGCGACTTTTTTGCCATTGCCAGCAATGGGGTGGGCGCGGTTTTGCTACGATGCATCCGGCCCACAGGCCGGCAGTTTGACACCCGTTATAGAATACTGTGCAAAATCTTATTGTATAACGGGTGTCAAACTGCCGGCCTCATAGTTTTTGTATCAACTGAGGTTAGTGTCCATGTTTCGCTGGCATATAAAATAGGTAACACACACTGATCAAAAACATTTCTCTTCAGGAATAGGGGAGGTTGTTCTTGAAAATTATGCTTAGCTTGCCAAATGCCTGCCAACTACATTTAACATGCTGTTCCATTTCCTTTATTATATTACCTTCCCTTAAGATCTGTTGGCCTATATATAATAATCTACTACATCTAGTTCTTTTCCAGATACAACATTTTTCCCCTTTGGTTAATTTAGTAAACATAACCTGGCTCTTTTTCAGGTTTATTTTTAAGGCAAGTGGTTCTCCTGCTTTGTGCAGCTCTTGTATGTATCTTTGCAACTCTTCTGGGTCTTGTGAGAAGAGAACAACATCTTCTGCAAATCTTAAGTGATTTAAATAGGCGCCATTGATTTTTATTTCATTTTTTGCCCAGTCCAGTTTACGAAATACTTCTTCAAGGCAGCTGAGATAAGGATAAGCGATATTGTATTGCCTTGTTGTACACATCGTTCTGTTGAACTTTAAGACCATTGAGGCAAATTGTCATCACTGTTTTTTCAAATATTGATTGTAGTAAAGCAGGGGTGTTAAACTGCTGGCCCGCGGACCGGGTTGCATCATACAGAGACCGGGACCACCCCAGCTCCGGCAATGTAAAAAAAGTTGCAACACTTCACATGACATGGTGAGTTTGACACCCATGTAGTAAAGCTTATGTAAGCAGTGTCTATGCCTTGATTGAGCAATGCATTAATTATTGCTTGCTGGAATACTAAGTCAAATGCCTTTTCGTAGTCAATGAAAACTGTGCACAGAAGCATGGTGTACTCATTGTGCCTTTCATTGACTTGCTGAACAATTTGGATATGATCCATTGTGCTGTAACCAGTACTGGACCCTACCTGCTCATTTGGTTGTACATTATTTAATGTTCTCAATATTCTTTTTGCTATTATCTTGGTGAAAACCTTGTAGATGACTGAAAGAAGGCTTATTGGGCAATAGTTCTTTAAATCATCTTGAGCCCTTTCTTATATATAAGAATCACTTCAGCATTTTTCCATGCATCGGGTATTTTTCTGAGGTATCTCGAGGCATTTGCTAATCTTGTGTAAAATGTGACAACCAGCTTTCAGCATTTCAACTGTAATACTCATTTCCTGAAGCTTTGCCATTTTTCATTGATTTTATAGCACAAAGCAGCAAACTATTTAGAACTAAACTCCTTAATATAATGGCACTATATTTTAGACATCTGCAGAAAACTGAAAATAGCAATAAAATAAACCTACTAGTTTGTCACACCAAAAGTAAAGTTAGAGCAATTTCCTCCGCATAGTAATTTTGTACAAAAAATATAGAAAACAAATTCTATTTTATATGTTTACCTATGAAGAGAAGAGAGAAATGCAAAAAAGAGGTAACAACTTACCTAGAAGAAACTGCTTGTGGATGGTCACTAAAATCTGAAAAAAAGATATTTAATCAGATTTTTATCAATAGTAGCTTTGTATATACTGTATAAGATTTTATCTCATTCTTATTTTTTATCAACTCAGAGATGGTATAGTTAATGCTCCCAACTCCTATTTTTCCCCAAAACAACAAGCCTATGAGTGGGTTGGGATGAGACAGGGTGACTGATTTAAAGTCAACTACCAGGCTGTCTGCTCTCCCTGGTTCGGCTTGGCTCCTCACAGGAACCCTGCAATCAAAGACTGGAAAGGGGAGGAGGATGTAAGGGCAATAAAGCTGTGTGTATGTGTTAGGAAATTGGGAGAGGAATGACAGGTGATAAAGATCAAAGCAGCCCAGATCCAATGTGTCCCAGTGTCCCAAGGCTAGGCAACCTGAGAAAATATGTCGATTATCCCCAAACATCTCAGTGTTCTCAAAACATTTTGGAAAGTTTCGAATGGCTGGAAACGGACTGGTCATGGGGGGGGGGGGGAAGAGATGGGATGCAGATGAACTTTTATCTATCTTTTGAGCAAGGAAAAATTCAGACCCAGCTTGACTTTACTGAAGCCAACACCTTTAATAAGAGAACCCTTTGCTTTAACTAAATGGAGTCGAGGGTGTTTCTTTCCTAAGGGATCAGACTGGGGCAGGTCTGTCATTAGGCTAGCTCTGCAGTTGTGGTCAACCAGAAGAGAAAATCATCTCTACCATGGGGACCATGCAAACAATGTTGGCTGAAGGGAGGAACCAGGAAGAAATTGAAGCCCGGGAGAAGGCATCTTTAAAAACCCCTCCTGTAGGTCTGGATCTATCTGAGTGGCTGGAAGAGGACAACCCACCAAGACCCCGATGGTCCCTCGGGGTTGGAAAAAAGGAATAGTGGGAAAAGAAACCCATGTGAGTGACATTCATCTCCGGGGGCCAAGGCAGCCACTGGCAAGAAATGCAAGTAAAGCTGGAGGAACTGGAGGAAGAATTGAGTGCATGCGAGCTAGAGAAAGAGGACTGGATGCTGAAGTATGCCATTAAGATCCTGAGGATAGCTTTTGGTAACCTCAAAACACAAGAAGCCCTAGTCAGGCAGCACATCCCACTTACCAGTCAACTCCAGCCACAGTGAGTGATGGGGCAACCACCTTGGCTACTGTGATGGCAGCAACAGAGAGTTGCCCAACAGCAGCAATTGCCCCAGCATGTGGCTCCGCAGCCTAGCACGCACCAGTTGCAGGGGCAATGCCTGCATGGCAGAGACGCCAGCCCTGGGAGTAAAGTTCAACAGAGACTCCAAGCAATTGGAATTCTTCCTGGTGCAAGTTCAGACATACATGCAAGAGTATGGTCCAGAAATAGCCACTGAAATGGCTAAGGTGCAGTGCCTGACCATGGCAGTGGAGGGGACCGCAGCTGAATGGATGATCACCCTCCAAAATGATGACGCCTCGGAGTTGAGAAACTTCAACCACTTCATGGTTGCACTTCAGAAGCACTTCAAAAAAAACCTTAATCAATCACAAAGTCAGAGACCGCATAAAGACCATCAGTCAAGGGCACAGAGGAATGGCCAAGTACATCCAGGAGTTTCATGACCTGGCCTGCAGACTGACCAAATGGCCAGAAGACATCTTGATCAGATGTTTCTGAGATGGGCTACAACATCTATATCTCCAGGGGTGCCCTCACCACCCTCTATAGCAGAAGAAGTGGAAATTGACTGACCGAGCCATGGGTGGTGAAGATCCCCCCCCCGAAAAGAAAGAGGCTCCAAAACAGCTACCACGTGAGTAGAGCCCCCAATGATCCGCTGGCTGCTTTAGGTGTGGGAAGGAGGGGCACCGGGTTGTCAATTGCCAAGCGCACCCCCAACCCAGAAGGTGACTCAGATAACCAGTGAGACCACACTGAAGGGAATAGAAGACGTAGAGTTTACCCCATTCCCCAAGAATGGCGGGAGAATTCCAACCAGCCCGGTGGACAGCGAAGTGGACTATGATGATGATCTCTTGGTAAGTTGCCTGGCCAACCTAGTAACTATCCCCTTAGAACTGGTGGTTTGATCCTAGGGGTGCAAGGGAACCTCCAGGACTTGGGGTGCATCAGATACCTGGTCAACCTTGCCCTGGTTGAGAAACTGGCCATGAAACTCAAACTTCTTAAAATGCCCATTGCTTTTTGCCAGCTGGATGGCTCAGTGGCAGGAGGGAATCACAGCAACATGTCACCGAGTCAATAGAGGTGAGAATGGGTGCACACACAGAGACCCTGAGCTTCGTGGAGAGACCTCTTGTGTTAGGACTGTCTTGGCTTCTGAAATGAAACCCCTATGTGAACTACAGGAGGTTGCTAAAAAATCCAGTGGGCTGGCTGTGAAGGGGTAGGGAGGGCTGTCAGAAACCTACTCTAAGCGGCAGCAGACAAAACCAAAACAGGAGGTGGGAGCAGCTGCCAAAGACCAACCCCAAATTGATCCGTGGATCTCTAAAGAGTACTGGGACTTATGGGATATCTTCAGTGAGAGAAAGTCAGATGCGCTCCCACCCCACCAGCTGACTGACTGTTCCATAGAAATTCTATTGGGGACCAAACTACCCAAACCTAAGCTGTATTCCATGATCCCTAGGGAACTGGAGGAATTGCGGACTTTTATGGACAAAAACCTGAAGTGTGGATTCAGCCAACCTGTCAGACTTTTATGGAAAAGAAGGAGAGACCCCTCATCTATGAGTGGACTATCATGGGCTTAATGCTTTGCGTGTGGAAAACGTTAACCCACTTCCCCTCATTCAGAACACGCTAGCCTGTTTGGCCAAGGGGAAGATCTTCACCAAGTTGGATTTGCAGGAGTGAGGAACAAAACAGGGGATAAGTAGAAACTGGCTTTCAATTATCCCTTAGGATTTCTAATTCCAGGTCCTCTGTTTTGGACTGAAAGGGGTCCCTGCTGTGTTTCTGCAGCTAACAAACAACGTTCTGTATGAACACCTGTTCAAAGGACTATTAGTTTACCTGGCTGACATTTTAATCTATACTGAGACTATGGCAGAACACATAAAACTAGGCAGAGCTGTGCTCAAGAAGCTTTGAGGTTGGCACTAGAAGAGAATATCTAAGTAGACACTAAACATCCTGCAGTTTTTCTAAATAAATTACTAAATGCTCCTGATAATTCTGCACTTATTGCATCTGATACATAGAGCTGAGGATGAAACAGTTTTCAATCCGGCCTAAAAACCTGTAAACATTGAAAAGACTGTAAACATTGATTAGATGACTCCAACCTCACTGCTGAGAAGTGAATGACAAATTTTCTACTGATTCAAAACAGAGGGAGAAAACAGCACAGAATTGCAGTTGATACTTCACCGAGTAGCTGATACTTGAGTAAGATGTACAAAAGCCAAGACATAGTATTAATGTTTGTCTTAGTTAAACTGTCATTATCAATGGAAGAGAATATTTGTAGCTCAGGGTTGAATTCTGGGATCCTTGGTGCTCTCTGAGCTTGGTTGTTTTCTTCCAATGTTTCATTACCAAACTAGGTAACATCAGCAGTGCTAGAGCAGAGTGATAATATAAAATGAGAGATTTGCTTATTTTATATATCAATGACTTGCCCTTTCAGTGTGGTGGGAGTGATCTTGGTGGTTCCATTGTTGTTTATTGTTAGTTTGTTTATCTGAGTTGGTGGTTCCTTGATAGGGGTATTGTTTACTTCTTCATTGTTATCTAGAATTAATCTCTGCTCATCTGGATGTTGATTGCTGGTAAGGAGGTGTTCTGGTACTTTTGTTTTCTTTTTGGCTTTTTGATTGTCTCTCTTAAAAGGTATATAGATATTATTTATCTCTATGTGCCTGTTGATGGCTGATTCAAGTGCCAGCTTCCAGGAATTCTCTATTGTTTTTGGACTGGGCTTTGTCTAGGATGCTCAATTTCCCAGTTGAAATTATGTTTTAAGTCTGTGCATGTGTTGTGAAATTAAGGAGTTTTCAACATGTCTTCTGACAACTAATTGGTGTTCATAGATGTTCTCTGTTACTCTTCTGCCTGTTTGTCCTATACATGTTGTAGATGACTGCTTTTCTTCTGGGGCTGCTTGGTCTTTTTGATATACTTAGGATATTTTGGAGGACTCTGGTTGGTTTATATGCCTGTAGAACAAAAAGCTAGAGGACTAGCAGAGCACATCCGTGAACACGAGTTAGCAGTCAAAAGGCGTAATTTCAACTGGGAAACTGTGAGCATCTGAGACCATTCAAAGAGACAATCAAAAAGTCAATACCTCCTCACCAGCAATCATCACCCAGATGAACAGAGATTAACGGTAAGATTAACCTAGACCAAGAACGAAAAAGTAAACAATACCCCAAGCTTCTAGTTCTAGTTCATGGTGATAGTAATCACCTACAAAGTCCTCCATAGCATATTGGCTGGTTATATGAGGGAGTACTTCTCTGCCATAATTTCTGTCCACTATGTAAAATCCAATAGAACAGGTAAGCTTTGGATATCACCCATTATCCAATGTCATCTGATGGGATCTAGAAAGTATGCTTTCTCCGTTGAGGTACCTACTCTTAGAACAACATCCTGTAGCACAGGGATGTCAAACTCAATTTCATTGAGGGCCGCATCAGCATTGTGGTTGCCCTTGGGGGGGCGGGTGGGTGTGGCTAAGGTGGGTGTGGCCTACTGGTGGGCGTGGATGGAGTGGGTATGGCCTACTGGGTGGGCATGGCCAGATGTCGCAGCGCTGAGTGGCCCATGCCGCAGATGTCGCAGCGCTGCGAGTGGAATGGGCTGTGATTACAACTTGAAGCCGGCACGGAAGAAGACTGGTACACCTCCGCGATACAGGTCCTGATCCACCTGCCTATAGTGCCAGCGGACACCTTCTGTCCCAGAGAAGCCGGACGGAAGGAAATAAAGAGGGATTCAGATCTGCGAAAAAGCTCAGTACATTTGATGTAACGCCGCAGAGCCCTGCGGACATCCAATATGTGC